GAAATATATTTTTGATGAGGTTTGTAGTTACTTTTACCAGCACATTGAAGATTTAATTCCACAGTCTTCTGGCTTCCATTGTAGCTGTCGAAAAAACTCAGCAGCCAAAGTGTCATTCCTTTGAAGGTAATCTATTTCCCCCACCTCAGCAATGTTCGATAATTTTTCTTTGTTTCCTCAAGTTTCATTATTAATAATCTAGGTGTGTATTTCTTTTTCTTTATTTTATGTATTTATTTATTTTTTTCGGTACGCGGCCCTCTCACTGTTGTGGCCTCTCCCGTTGCAGAGCACAGGCTCCGGATGCGCAGGCTCAGCGGCCATGGCTCACGGGCCCAGCTGCTCCGCGGCATGCGGGATCTTCCTGAACCGGGGCACGAACCCGTGTCCCCTGCATCGGCAGGCAGACTCTCAACCACTGTGCCACCAGGGAAGCCCATCTTTTTCTTTATTTTTGTGAGGAGTTCATAATCCTTCCTGAACTGGTAGGTTGGTTTTTGTCATCACTTCAGGACAATTATCAGCCATTAATTTTTCAAATATTTCCTCTGCTACATTCTCTCTCTTCTCCTCTTCTGGGACTTTGATCAAACATATGGTAAACTTTCTCACTGTATTCTCTATTTCTCTAAACTTCACTACGTGCTTCATTCTGGATATTTTCTTCTGACTCATCTTTTCACAAATTCTCTCTTTAGCTGTAACTCAGTTTACAGATCTATCTAGTTATTTTGTGTTTCAGTTCTAGAATATCTAGTTGCTTCCTTTTCGTATATACTCTGTCAGTTCTTATAGTTTCCAGTTCTCTACCCAAATTTCCAGTTCTCTGCCCAAATTTCCAGTTGTTTTTTATATCCTTGACCATAGTAAGCAGCATTATGTTAAAATCTATCTCCAATAATTCCACTACCTGGCGCTCTGGTGTGACTATTCTATTACCTGCCACTTCTCTTGGCTCTTGTTCCTGACATGTTATCTCTTCATGTGTCTGATATCTGTGATTGTGTGTTAGGCATTGTTTTTGAAAAATTGTTTGTGGAAATAATTTGAGAATTTGAATGTTAGGATCTTATTCCAAGAGGATTTGCATTGGCTTCTATCAGGCACCTGGATCACTAGCAATCAGGATTTTCTTAATTTACTGTTAGGGATTAAGGTTTCCTGAGTCACACAGATGACTTGAAGCTAGGTTGCATCCTGGCAAGGGCTGGTGTAGATTTTTCAGAATCCCAACCCAAAGCAGGCTCCAACTTCTGTCCTTTTAGTCCGTGTTGCTGTCAAAAGCATCACTCAGCTTCTCAGTCTCTTTTCCATGAACAGTGGACGCTCCCTGAACAGGAGGCCCCAAACGCAGGACGTGATTCACTGGATTCTGTTTTTCTTCTCTATCCTCACCTGGTAATTCTTTATTACCTTCTTATTTCTTCAATGTCTTTTAATATTTTGTTCACCCTTTTCAGCTTTCCTCAGCAGGTGGCTGGCTGGTCCCAGTTACCTGTTCCACTGTTATTAGAAGTGAAAGTCTCTGTTATGCAAATGTAAGAGATTATTATTGTTATAATTTCCTGACTACTGGTTTTGGGTTCCTTTGATGGGAAAAATGTGCGCTAAACTCCCATTTACTTGGCATGACATAGAGATTACAGAAGAAATAAATTTTGTTAAGCCCAAATTGCTTTGATTCACCTTTGATTAAAACTGAAATCAGAGGCCACAATTTTTTTAGAGATAAATTTTACAGAGCTATTGATACAAATGCTTTTGATAATGTAAAACACTGGGTTATGAATTAGCCTTTGTTAGACAGTTGAGGAGAATTTTAAGTTATATGAATATATATTCTGAATTTTGTTAAAAATCTGAGTTTTTATCTGCTTATTAAAAAGGTACAAGGAGGGCTTCCCTGGTGGCGCAGTGGTTAAGAAACTGCCTGCCAATGCACGGGTCATGGGTTCGAGACCTGGCCCAGCAAGATCCCATATGCTGCGGAGCAACTAAGTCCACGCACCGCAACTACTGAAGCCGGGGCACCTAGAGCCCATGCTCTGCAACAAAAGAAGCCACAACAGGGCTTCCCTGGTGGCGCAATGGTTGAGAGTCCGCCTGCCGATGCAGGGGACACGGGTTCGTGCCCCGGTCTGGGAAGATCCCACATGCTGCGTAGTGGCTGGGCCCGTGAACCATGGCAGCTGAGCCTGCGCGTCCAGAGCCCGTGCTCCACAACGGGAGAGGCCACAACAGCGAGAGGCCCACGTACCACAAAAAAAAAAAAAAGCCACAACAATGAGAAGCCCGCGCACTGCAACGAAGAGTAGCCCCCGCTCACTGCAACTAGAGAAAGCCCGTGCACAGCAACAAAGACACAACACAGTCAAAAATAAAAACAAATAAATAAAAATTTTTAAAAAGTACAAGGAGCTTTCTTTTCCTATAATACCAAACAATTTGTTTGAATAGTTTCCTTGATGTTATGAATGTTTGATATAGAAAACTAACGTGCTTGAATATTTGTTGTGGAACACCATTCGATTTGTAAATCGTATTTGTCGTAGGAGATTAATTTTATTCACTGGCTTTGTGATAATTAACTTGCTGATTTTACCTCACTGATTTGTTGTAATTAATACAACTGGTAGAAAAAGCCTGTGAGGATTCTCTTAAAATTAGGAACATAATGAAAGAAATTCCTTCTGGTAAAAACTAATTTTGTTTCACAAAAATTAAATTTGTTTTACGTGTAAATTAAAGTGGCTCTAACAAATTAACTTAGAAATGCAACGCAAAGTGTCAATTTGTCACAACTGGGTATTCAGGCTAATGGAATCTTCTTGCTTATTTTGATATTGTTGTTTTATTTTACCTCTATTCATATGTGGATCATCACATTCCAAAAGATTAAATGATAATTCTCTTAAAGCTTCCCTAAGCATATAAACACTTTAACAGGTGGTGATTCAGAAAGCGTCTGCACTGCTAAATTCTCTCTCATCCCCTCATTCTTGCCCAATAAATAGACACCTCATGCTGGAACATGGGATAAATGGGAATTAGCAGCAGGTGGAGGGAAAGACAGGAGCAAGTGGTACAAGCAAATGGCCTTGAAGTCAGACTGATGGTGATTGAAATCCTGTCCCTACCCCTTACTAAGCTTTGTGATCCTGGGTAAGTTACCCTGAGCCTCGGAGTCATCAACTGTAAATTGGGGGTAATGATGGTAGCCACCTCACAAGGGTTTTTGTGGGGGAGAAGGTGAAGGATTACCTAAGATTGTGGTTATAAATCACTCAGTCCCTTGAGAGCATGTGATAAGTACTGTATAAATAATGACGGCTATTATTAGCTGACTGGGATGCATTTAGCTGTCTCAGGAATAAAGGCAGCTGCAGAATTTCTCCTAGGAGGGGCTCCGGAACAGAGATCACACTGGAAGGCGCGATAGGACCCTGCTTTTAAGTTGATTCTTTGCGTAGTTGAAGAAAAGAGGAAGGAGATTTAGAGGGACTGGAGTGCTTCCCCCCCGCATCCCTTGTGCGCTGCTCCCGTCCCGGAGATGTTCGGGGCTTGTCTTGCACTCCTCCGTCCCGTCCCATTCGTTCCAACCAATCAACCAGTCAACAAACACGAAACAGCCCTGCCAAGGGGTTGTGGACTGTGGAGAGAGGGCGCCGCACTTCTAGCTTGGAGGGTAGCCGCCCTGCGCTCGGGTCCCCGCCAGATGCCCCTTACCCCTTACACCGACCCAGTGGGAACCCACAGAGACCCACCCCAGCCCCGCTCGCCCTGGACGTCAGCCCCATCTCCCTTTCCAAGGAGCAGGGGCAGCATCCGGGGTTTCACCGGCCACAGACCGCAGAGAGTGGTCCCCCTGAGCCAGGCTGGTGGCAGCGCACTGCTGACCCGGGGAAGCCGCTCGGACCCGCTGCAGCCTCCACCGTCAGACAGGGGTCCATTCCCAGCACCTGCTCAGGTTGGGGACACACTCGGGCATCCACAGCCGCGGCCAGTCTCCTGTTCCCGCCCGGCCACTCTCCCCACCCAGGGCGAGGCTTGATCTTGGCTCTGGAGCCGACTCTGAGGTCCAGGCTTCGCCTTCAGTTAGGACTTGACCTTGGGCAGGTTATGTTTGTGTGTCCGGTTTCCACCATACCAAGATCACCCCCAAGGACCATCATCAATCTGGAGGGTTTGGCACCTGCGCTCAGAGAACTTTCAATATGCATCAGCTGTGATTACCTTACATGCCCCGAACCCAGACAAATCTATCAACCTGCTCTGATTGTATGGTGAAAAGACCCCGGGTTCTGGTTACAGTCTCAACTGCAGTCTCAACACAGACACGCCGAATACTCTGGGACCAGTTGCCCCTTCTCTCTGGACCTCTGCTGCTCCGTCCGTCACCTGATCGACGTCAGATTTGAAAAACCCATTTATTGATCTTACAGGCTCCTCCCCGGCAGGAGCGCCCAGCTACAGGGATTACGCAGTCCTGTGGGAGGGGCCCCACGAGTGGGAGGCTGGTCACTCTGCTTTAGGGCAGAGGGAGGTCAGAGGTTCATAGGAAAATGGCATTTGAACGAGGCTGGAAGGATGACCCACTGGACTCCGCCCGGTAAATAATAGCGAGGCTTTTATGTCGCTGCCCTTTCAGAGCTGAGCGTTCGCAGGGATCGCGTCCTGTAGTAGGCCCACTTTCCTCCTCCACGGCTGAGGTCGCGGGGACCGCGGAGCAGAACAGAGCAGGTGGTGTCCGGAGTCCGCATCCCGGGACCTGGCCCGCATCTCGAGGCCCGCTCCGGGGTCCGCTCGCTGGGAACGCGGGGGTGCGGCCGCTCTGGCCGCCAGTGCCCTGGCCACACTTGGCCGTGGCAGGGGCCCCGCTTCCGGGAAGGTTGGCTCGGCTCGGGCAGCGCCCGCGCAGTCCCAGCCCGCGAGAGCCACGGGGTCCCGGGCCGAGAGCAGGCTGCGCGCGCGCGCGTCACGTGGGCGGCGCGGGCGCGTCCCGCCGCGGGCGGGGGCGAGGTCGGCGCGCGGCCTCCCGTGAAACCCCGCGCGGGGAAGGACCGGAACTCCGGGCGGGCGGCTTGTTGTTAACATGGCGGCGGGAGCTACCGGCACGTCTCCAGGAGGCGGCGGGGCCCGCACCCGGAAGACGGGTCTCTTTTCGGCCTAGCGCGGCGGCCGCTGCGGACCCGGAAGTCCGGGCCGGTTGCTGAATGAGGGGAGCCGGGCCCTCTCCGCGCCAGTCCCCCCGCGCCCTCCGCCCCGACCCGGGCCCCGCCATGTCCTTCTTCCGGCGGAAAGGTAACGAGGGGCGCGGACGGGCGCGGGGCCGGGCCTGGGGCGGCGGGTGGTGGCGAGGCCGAGACCTCGGCGCGGAAGGACGCTCTGTGCGCCGCGCCCGCGGTCTTGCGAGAGGGAGCGGGGCCTCCGCGCGGGCGGGCGGGCGCCCAGCCGGTTCCGAAGTGTGTGCCGGGACCCGCGCGGAGTGGTGCCTTTTGCGGACACACAGCTTTTCGGGGACGGGGTGGTGCGTGTGTGTGCGTTTGTACCAGAAGAAGGGAATTCCTTCCGTGCTTTCTTTACGGAAGTCTCGGACTTGTCAGAATATTGAGGGGTTTATGTCAAGCAACACGTGAAAAAATTGTTTTCTTCAACTAGTGCTCTTTTCCAGTTTCCCCTTTTTTCGGGGGGTGGGGTGGGGGAGCGGGATTCTGCTGTCCCTGAAGTGACAGTGCTTAACTTATGGCTAAAAGTCTCCTAACGAAAACGACTCCTTCATTTGATGGATTAGCAAGTTTACTAAGTCCTGGCACCCAAACTTCAGAAGCAAACTGCTTATATTTCTGATTTTCAGTAGTAGCTGCCCAATTTTTGAGTAGAGGCAGCTTGATTTTGAGCCTGGGTTCGGTTGTTGGCGTTTCGTTACCTGTACGTATCCAGAGTGGACAAGTGTGGGCCTTCTGGGTTGATTAGTGGTTCTTGTATCGATTCTCGTTGCTTCCGGGAAAATTTACCAGACAAAAACGGGTTTTTGGGAAAGCACTAAACTAAATCAGGGGCTTAGGTTCACGTGACAGCTCTGCTACTAACTCTGTCACCTGGGACAGAAAAATGGTAACCCTCTTTCCTCTCTCACCTGAGAATTCAATGATTCCTAAAGGCCCCATTCAACTCTATAAATTAAAGATTTCTTTTTAAGTACGCACAGAGTTTTAATAACTGATGCCGTGTGATGAGTGAATGAAAAGCACTCTGAATGAATGAAAGTGGTAAAATGGTACAAGGAAGCTTTATTGGTAAGGTACCTTGGTATAGTTAATAGCTCTCTAATTTGTTTGAGTGTTGGAATGGTTAGTTGTAGTGTTTTTTTCGGGGGGGGGAGCATTCTGTGTATAATGAGGCAAATTGCATGTTGCACAATAGACTGTTGTCTCTATTCAACAAATACTTTTGAACGTCCACTGTTTGCCAGGCACTGTGCTAGGCGCTCAGTATTAAGCACTGAACAAGACAAAATCCTTATATCCATGGAGCTTGTTGTCTGCTGGGGTAGACGGACAATAAATCTCTCTCCCTCTCTCTCTCTGTCTCCCTCTCTCTGTTTACAAATTGAATACAGTGTTATGAAAGAGCTTGAGAGAAGAAACATATTTCGGTTTGATGTTAGTCAAAGGCCTCAGCAGGTGACCTTGAAACTTAGAGCTGAAGGAACAGCAGGAGGTAACATACAGAGGCCAGGGAAGAGCATTCTAGGCACAGGGAATAACGTGTTCAGAGGCTGGGGGATAAGAGTTTGGTGCCCTTCAAGAAAGAAAAGAAGCCCACTGTGACTCAGGCTTAGAGAGGTAGACAAGGATCAGATGATTCAGAGCTTTGTAGGTCATGGTTAGGTGTTATTCCAAGTGCAGAAACAATATTACTTTTAAAATTTTAAAGAGGGGTGATTTGATCTCTTTTTATGTTTTAAAAAGATCATCCTAGATGCTTTTTGGAAACTGGATGTGGCAAGAATAGAAACTGGAGATGGTCTTATTTAGGGATCCCATCCAGTCTCTGAATACCATTTTTAAATACCACCTATCTGCTGATGACTCCCAAATTTACATCTCCAGCTTGGATTCTCTGCCCTGAATTCAGACTGTGTACCCAACCGTTGGTCCACTTTATACCTAATAGATGTCTAATAGATAAATCTTTAGCCTACTGTATCTAAAATTTCCCCTTAGATTTAGTCCTCCTAAACCTGTACATCACTTTTTCTCATCTTAACAAATTACATTTCTGGCCTTTTAATTGCTCAGGCTAAAACTTTAATATCTTCCTGAACCTCTTTCTCTCCTACTGTATATCTGATCTGTTAGGTCTACCCCAGAATATACCCAAATCCAACCATTTCTCACCATCCCTGACCATTAACACCCTGGTCTAGGGAGTCATCTCTATTTAGGTTGGGTGGTTAAGGAAGTCCTCTGAGGGGTGTCATTCAGATCTCAGCTTAAATGTCAAGAGGAAGCTGGTTTTGTGAAGATCAAGGAAGCAGGATTATTTTACTATAGGCTTCAATTTGGTTTCCCTTCTTCCATTCTTGACGCCTCTGGTGTGTTTTCGAAATGCATTCTGCCACACCTCTGTTCAGATTCCCTCAGTGGCTTTCTGTACATGGCCCTCCATAATCTAGGTCCCATTTCTTCTCTGTGTTCATCTCCTGCTTTCTTTCTCCATCATTCTTCCATTTATATTGGCCTCCTTGTTGTTAAGTACATTCCCACCTCAGGGTCTTTGCACTTATTCTCTCTGCCTGAAACCTCTTCCCACAGATATGTGCCTATTTTGTCCCCCATCTTCTTCAGGTTTTTGATTAACTGACATCTTAGTGAAGCTTTCTCTGACTAGCTTGCTTAAGACTGTAGTCCCCAGACCCTGCACTCCCCTCCCGTCACACTACTTTATTTTTTCTGTAGCATTTGTCACCATCTGCCGTACTATGTGTTTTATTAGGATGGAAGATGATTTCTGCTCATGGCTGTATCCCCATGTCTAGATTAGTGCCTGGGATATAGTTAGGAAGTTAGTAAGTATTTGTTGAATAATTAAAGTAGGAAGTAATAAGTGCTGTGCAGGGAATTTAAAGAGTGATGTGGGAGCAGATCACCAGATGACAATTTGTGTTTGGATAGTGAGGGAAGGCTTGTCTGAGCAGATGGTATTTAAATTGAGGTCTCAATGAGGAAGGAGAGCCAGCCTTGCAAAGGTAAAAGGAGCTGCATTCTGGCTGGAAAGAACTGGTAATACAAACATCCTGAGGCAGGAAAGAGCAGGGTTTGTTCAAGGACAGAAAGAAGGCTGAAATGTGCTGGGAGTGAAGGGCAATGGGGCATGTTTTAGAGATAGAGATAGCATGACTTGAGTAAATGATTGGAGTGAAGGAAAACTGGGAAAGCTTTGGAAAGCTTAGAGCTTGAGGTAGGAGGAGTCCAGAGCTCTCTTCCGGCAGTTGTGAGTTTGCAGAAACTCTTGGACATCCGTGTGGATATGTCAAGGGGGCAGTTGGATGTACAGGTCTGTAGTTCTGGGAGGGGATCAGAATTTGGGTGCTGAATCTGGACTTAGAAGTATTTTGCATAAATGATGGTTGAAGACACAGGCCTAAGTGAGCTCATCTGTGGAGTACATATGGGATATGGATTAGTTGTGTTGAAAGGCTAAGGTACCGTGACAAAGAGACACTAAGTACAATGGCTCAAACAAGGTAGGCCTTTATCTCTATCTTGTGTAACTGTCCAAGTCCCTGGTCATCAGGTGGCTTTGCTTCACGATCATTCAGGCATCGTTTTCCTCCCATTGTGTTATTCCTCTTTCTCTTAGGGTATAGTCTGTGTGATCAAAGCCAGATCTTAGTCCCTTCTGTCAGCTTTCTGACTCCTGATAAGGGGAAAGAGAAGCTTTGGCCAGAAATGGCACATACCTCTTCTGTTCACACTTCATTGCTGAGGACCGAGTCATACGGTCACAGTTAATTAACTCAGGGGCTTCTGGGAAATGGAGAGAAGCTAGCCAGTTGTGTGCCAGGATACAACCCTCTTTCTAGGAAGGCCAGGTAGAACCCTCTACAACCCTCTACAGTGGCCAGGTAGAATCTCCTGCCATGCTGTAGACAAGGAGAGAGCTCCGGGGTTAATCCAGCTTTTAGAAGTTGAGGAACATGAGTCATTGGCAAAGGAGAATCGATAAGAAAACACCAGTGATATAGGAGTACAATATCATGGAAGCTAAGAGAAGATAATATTTCAAAAAGGAGGGGTAAACGGGGAAGGGGCTGGAAGGGGCCATTGGGGTAAGGGTGGGGGGAGTTGTTGTTTTTAAGATAAAAGATGCTAAGCACGTTTGTTCTAGGAAAGATCCGGTAGAGAGGGAGAAAATGATACCGAAGAGAGGTTACTTGCAAGAGTGAAGTTCTTGAGAAGACCTTAGGAGTTGGGATTAAAGCCTGGCTGTATCAAGATTTGATTAGGGTACACTGCAGCTGGAGATGGCAATCGACACAACCACTTGTTTAAAAACCTTCAAACAATGCTTAACCTGTTTATGAATACATAAATATATTAAAGAATAAAAATGATGGAAACCATAAACATTCCATTTCTGAGATTTTTTTCTCTAGGAAGAGGGGGAATGAGTTGAGGGAGGGACTTTAGTTGTAACTGCAGTGTTTTATTGCTCTTAAAAATTCTTCTGGAGCAAATACGGCATAATGTTAAGATTTGCTAAACCTGAGTGTTCCTCATATTAAGGTCTAGTCTTGCCTTTGTTTTAAATGTTTCATAATAAGAAATTATTTCTTATAGAAGAAATAGTGCAAAATAAGATGACAGAAATAAACCGCTTTAAATATAAATAGAATACAATCTCTATGGCTAAAAAATCTAACAAAAGTCCGTATAAAGATGGACTAAAAGAGAAAGACTCAAGTTGGGTAATAAGCCAAAATGCACCTATTTACCAGAGACACAACCAAAACATAAGGACGTAGAGAAACTGAAAATAAATGGATGCAAAGATATATCAGGCAAATGTTAACTAGAAGAAAGTTTGTGTGGTAGATGAAATACTTTAAAGCATAAAATACCATAAGGGCTAAGAAGGCCTGTAAATTATGATGAAGCGAAAAGGGTACTAGGAAGATAAAACTGTGAGCTTGTTTGTACCTAAATCAGTTTCAAAAGGTATAAAACAAAATGTACAGAATTACCAGGAGAAGTCAACAAATTCATCGTCATAGTTAGAGTTTTAAGAATGTTCTTTTTAGAAATAAAGAGCAGTAATCACAATAAAAAGAAATGGGTTAACCCAGACAATAAAAAGATGGTGATCTTCAGATTGGTTTCCTGTACTGTTTAAATGTTAAAAAGGTCATGGGAAAGTTAAAAGTAAAAGGATGGAGAAACATATCAGGGATATACAAACAGAAGGAAAGCTGGCATAGTCTTCACAACAGCACACACATGAAAAAAAGATGGAAAAGTTAAGTTTTGTGAGGGAAAGGGAACAAGAGTCATTATTCACAGATAATATGATGGCATACATAGAATATTCAAGAAAATCTAGGCTTCCTTGGTGGCACAGTGGTTGTAAACCCGCCTGCCAGTGCAGGGGACACGGGTTCGAGCCCTGGTTCAGGAAGATCCGACATGCCGTGGAGCAACTAAGCCCATGCACCACAACTACTGACCCTGCGCTCTAGAGCCCGTGAGCCACAACTACTGAGCCCACGTGCCACAACTACTGAAGCCTGCGCTCCTAGAGCCCGTGCTCTGCAACAAGAGAAGCCGCCGTAATGAGAAGCCCAGGCACCACAACGAAGAGTAGCCCCCACTTGCCGCAACTAGAGAAAGCCTGTGCACAGCAACAAAGACCCGACGCAGCCAAAAAAATATTAATTAATTAGTTATTTTATAAAAAAGGAAAAACATAAGAAAAGTAAAGTGGGCTGTGTCAGATCCCGTAAGTTTCTCACTTGGCTTGAGCTACCATGCCCCTTCCTTCCTGCATGTGATCTTGCTAGTGTGTCTGCATTAGAATTTCCAGTGTTTTGTGTAATAGAGGAGAAATGGTATAATTTTTTAAAATTTTATTTTATTTATTTTTGGCTGTGTTGGGTCTTCCTTGCTGCGTGCGTGCTTTCTCTAGTTGCAGCGAGCAGGGGCTACTACTCTGTTGCGGTGCTTGGGCTTCTCATCGTGTTGGCTTCTCTTGTTGCGGAGCATGGGCTCTAGGCATGCGGGCATCCGTAGTTGTGGCTCGCGGGCTCTAGAGCACAGGCTCAGTAGTTGTGGCGCACGGGCTTCGTTGCTCTGTGGCATGTGGGAACTTCCCGGACCAGGGCTTGAACCCTTGTCCCCTGCATTGACAAGCAGATTCTTAACCACTGCACCACCAGGGAAGCCCGAAATGGTATAATTTTTTAAGAGACAGTTGTTAAAGCTTGATTAGTAGAAGTTTTAGAATGTTTGTAATTTTAGAATATTTGTATTTGAGGCTGTGGCAGGGATACACAGGAAGTCAGAGATGTTACACAACCAGAGAACTCTGTCTTTTTCTTCAGGTTGCATCTAGTAGTGAGTGGCACATGGTAATAATGTTAACTAGCGTCTTAAGTTTGCTGTGTCCTAGCTCCTCTTGTAAGCCCTTTACAAGTACTTATGTTTTCATCCACAACCCTATTAGGTAGTCTCCACTGTGGCTGATGGAGAACCACACTGGGCAAGTACATGTTCGGTTTTGGTATGCTGGCTGGGAGGTGCTCTTGAGATGTCCATTTACACACGTTATCTTAACCACACGGTAATTCTACAGTCCGAATTTTTAACCAGAGGTAAAAGAGTGATTTTTTTAGGGTCTAGCAGACCAGGGTTGAAATCCTGCCTATTGAAATGACTCTTTACTAACTCATAACAGTGACCTAGTTTTGTAAATGAAGGAAGTTGAGACCCAGAGAATGAAAGTAACTTGTCCAGCATCACATGGCTATTGAATGGCAGAGCCCAGATTTGAACCCAGGTGTTCTGACCTTGTCTCTCCTTAAGCTCTGAGCGTACTTGACCAAATGCTGTTCAAAGATCACTTCCTGAGAGAAACTTCCCCTGACAACTGCCCTGCCCCGCTCCAGGGCAGCTCGCCCGATGTTGCAGAACTTTGAACACACTCACCTGTCAGAATAGAGCTGGTGTGATTTTTACAAGGTCTGGAAGGGGGTTTCTGGCTGTAGAAGTTGGTCATGGTGCTCTCTTCTCTTCCAGTGAAAGGCAAAGAGCAAGAGAAGACCTCAGATGTCAAGTCAGTTAAAGGTGAGTCAGCATGTTGCAGTGATGAACTGTTTCATCCTGTTACATTCTCCCTTATTTTGCCATTAATCGTCTCTGCCTTCTTTTATAATTACTTATGACTGTGACATATTTCCCTGTTAACTTATATACTCTTCAACACCCACCATATAATAGACTTTTACTAAGCATTTATTGGTTGTCCTAGTGATTTCAGTGAACCAGTGTCGTCCTTACTAATCACACATTTGATTATTCCCCAAAAGCAATTAGTTGACTGTATTTAAAAAAAAAAAAAGCAAAAAATACTCTTTACTGAGTTGTCTGACCACTGACTTATGAAGCCTGGTTTTCTGTGGTTTATCTGGAAGTATGGATGCTTACAGTTTTCACTTCCTTATTACTTTGGATGAATGGCCTTAACCTAAAATTTATTTGGAGTCCTTTATTGGAATCAATATATTGTCCTTATTTATAGGCAAGAGCATGTTTCTTTAAGATTGTAATCTCTGCGTAGTTTTGACTGATTTCATTATGTCAGTGTACAAAAATTGAAAAGGAAAAATTACAGTGAAAATTACTTTCATGACCATTACGTACAAATTTCATAGATGTAATTTATTTACGTGAATTCTAAAGATTGCCACTTATTTAGATTTTTCTTTTAAATGTTTGTATGTTGTGTGGCTAGCATTGAGTAGTAACTCCATATGCTCCAGAGGGACACTAATCAATAACTTAGAGGTTTGTAAGATTAGGGAAGAAGTAGGGTAGCTTACAGCCTTATTTTCTGCTTATTTCTGATAATTTAAAGCCAGTTGGTTCATATTGCCTTTTTTAAGGAGAATTTGATTGATACTGGTAAAGACTTCAAGCCCTCAGCAAGCAGAGGCTTGTGAAGTCTAGCCTTGATTGCAGTAGCAGGAGGGACTTTGATGTCCGAGGCACACGAGCCTCCGACAGTGTGAGCTGGGGGAACTTTCCTCATTTGTACAACAAGGGGATTGGCCTACCTAACTCCTCAATCTGTCCCAGGCTAAAACACTCCATGCTTGTACTCTATTTATGACAGCACATAGTCTGTGCTCACATTCACTGCCTTAACTTTATTATTATTTTTATTTATTTATTATTTTTTTTGCGGTACGCGGGCCTCTCACGGCTGTGGCCTCTCCCGTTGCGGAGCACAGGCTCTGGATGCGCAGGCTCAGCGGCCATGGCTCACGGGCCCAGCCACTCCGCGGCATGTGGGATCTTCCCGGACCGGGGCACGAACCCATGTCCCCTGCATCGGCAGGCGGACTCTCAACCACTGCGCCACCAGGGAAGCCCCACTGCCTTAACTTTAGAATAACACAGACGCAGCAGGGAAACAGGCCCTCAAGAAGTTTGCAGTCTGATTAGAAGGACAGACTCAGACCCAGAACAGTAGCAAATAAACCAAAATCATAATAACTATGGTTTATTGAGCACCTGTTCTGTTCTAGGTGTTAGACAAAAATTGTGGCTGTAACAGTGTACAAAAAAGACTTGGATCCAGATCCTGCCCTCGGTGAACTTACAAATTGGTGGTAGGAAGAGGAGCATGAATCAGATGGCTTGGGCTCAATCAGCAGTGGTGGAGATAAAGAGACCTGGACAGAGCCGTGTGGGAGGTGGAATAGGTAGAGCTTTGTTCTCGATTAGGTATGAGGGCGAGGAAGCTAAGCCTGGCGCCCAGCTTTCTGGCAGGCCTAACACTGTGGCTGGTGGAGAACCACACTGGGCCAGTACCTGTTCCTTTTTGCTATGGTGGCTGGGAGGTGCTCTTGAGACGTCCATTTACGCACGTTATCTTAACCACAATAATTCTACAGTCCAAGTAACCAGATAAAAGAGTGATTTTCTATAGTCTAGCAGACCGAGGTTGAAATCCTGCCTGTTGAAATGCCTCTTTACTACCTTGTTGACTTAGGGCAAAGCACTTAACTTTGTTCTGTTTGTGTATTCATCTCCAAAATGAGGAAAATACTGGTCTTGCAGCATTGTTGTGAGAGATAAATGAAACAATGTACCCCAAAAAAAGTACATCAAGAAACCAGTACAGGGCTTCCCTGGTGGCGCAGTGGTTAAGAACCCACCTGCCAATGCAGAGGACATGGGTTCGAGCCCTGGTCCGGGAAGATCCCACGTGCTGCGGAGCATCTAAGCCCGTGCGCCACAACTACTGAGCCTGCGCTCTAGAGCCCGTGAGCTACAACTGCCGAGCCCATGTGCTGCAACTACTGAAGCCTGCACGCCTAGAGCCTGTGCTCTGCAACAAGGGAAGCCCCCCTCTCCACAACTAGAGGAGAGGCCTGCCTACTGCAACAAGAGTAGCCCCCCCTCTCCACAACTAGAGGAAGCCCACGTGCAGCAACGAAGACCCAACGCAGCCAAAAATAAATAAATTTATTAAAAAAAGAAAGAAAGAAAGAAAAGAAACCAGTACAGTGCCTTGTACATAGTAGGTTTTATATTGGTAGCTATTACCATCTAGTTTTAACAGAGTAGGCCCTTGATATGTTGGATTAGTTGTTAGTTATTAGTATTACAGGGAGTTCAGAGGAATTTGAGATCAGCAGATGGTTTCTGGAGCATAGGGAAGCCTTTATAGAAATGAGAATGTGTATGAAATTTGAATGATAAGGATTTGAATGAAAGAGTCAATTCTTCCTCTTTCCCTTACCAGCCCAGCTTCTTATTTCTTTGAGTATATACTGGGCAGAAGGACCTTCAGCCTACTAAAAGGAAATTTTTAAGATAGATTGAGGTCAGATTGTAGAGGGTCTTAAAGACCAGAAAAGAGTTGAGACAGAGAAAACAGGGAACCACAATGGGCTTTTGAGCAGGATGTTGATGCTTTACATATGGCATTTATAGAGGTTAGTCTGAAAGAGTCATGTAGGATGGAGACCCTAGAAGTGCTTTGCTGTGATACAAGAAGGCCTGTACTAAGGGTGTGGTGTTGAAAATAAACAGGTCAGTATCTTGAAGGAAAAGTCAACAGATCTTAACATGTAAACAGGTGTAGTGTGAAGAGTGGGTCCAAGCTCTTGAGCTTTAAGCGACTGGTGGATTGACAGAGATAGGGAAATGAGAGGAGAATTAGTCTGGAAGAAGATGTTTTAAGTTTGACGTTTGGAAAAATTGGTCTTGAGATGGTAAAGATGACAAATGAGAGGTTGGTTAGTAGCAAATAATTAGAGCCACAGGCTGGACGCTGAGCTCAGAGGTCAGCCTGAGATCGGGTCAGGGTCCCCTCTGCCTCCAGCTCTGCAGGGGTGAGCCCTTGGAGCTGGCGCTGGGAGGGCCCGAATCAAGCGCACGTGTGAGACTTTCCCCTTGAATCAGCCAGAGTTACAGTTAACTCTGTTTTGTCTATTTTAGATAACAATTTAGATTTTACATATCTGTTTTAGCTAAAGTTTTATCTATTTTACAGACATATCAAGGTCCCACTTAAGTTTATTTGGGTGGGGGGAGCTTACAGCTAAAAAAAAAGCTTGGAAAAGATTGCTCTAGTAATAACTGAAGGTTTGAGAATAAATGTGCCTTCCAGCAGAAAGAGTAAAAGAAGAACAGAGAACCTTGGGAAGCAGAGGAGTGGTGGATGCCATGTCTGGCCCCGTGGGCGCTGATATGTGCATTAAAGAGAAGGAGAGGGAGGAGCTCTTGGGAGAGGAGAAGGGGGAAGAGTACGGGACCGCGAGGCCTGGGGGTGGGATGCTAAGAGGGCGAGTGTGAGAGAGGTGGCTCTAACAGAATTAAGAAAGAGAGAAGAAGGCTTGCACAGATGAGTTAGTATTATTTCACATCGTCATACACGTCTAATTAGGAAACAATCAGAAAGTCTCACTGTTCTTGATGCAGGGTATTTGTAGCTTGTCTGTACAAAAAAACTAGATATTATTGTTTATAAACCTACCAAAATGATTCTGCTCCCTTCAATTTATCATAAAAATAAAAACAAAAAACAACTTCTTTCTAAAATTGAAAAAATCATTTGAAGACAACTCCATTGCATAATTCTCCGAGCTCTTATTGAATGACTGATAAATACATATGCCTAAGATAAACATTCTCATCTGCTTTATCCTGTAAACACATCTCCCAGTAATAGGCTGAATTACAGTACTATGCATTCTTCATAGGAGGCATTACGCGGTGTCACTCACATTCTGTGTCCGGGAACCGTTGGCTAAGATTGAGAGCACTTATCTGTTGACCAGTTTATCATAAATTGACCGCTCGGTAAAGTAAGTGGTGCTAGTAGACAGAAGTTTAGTCATCTGAGAGTATTTATATTGAGGGTGTGGAATGCTCAGTGACCTGTATGTTTCTAGCCTTCTTGCTATAGCAATGCACAAAACCAAAACTTCTTAAAAACCTTTCATGAGAGTCTTTGATATTTGTGTAGAATAAATGGGATAGGTGGAATGTTAATTCAGCTGTAGCAACAAGTTCATAGGGTTACTTTGACCGTATTATAATATGGAGTTGATGATTTCCTACTAACACATTGGTGACTAACCTCTTTATTCTGAAGTCAAAAGGATGATATTAATATTTTTTCAGACTACTGAAGCAAATATGTGAATTTTTAAGTATGCTTCATCTTTAGGCAGCTTGAACTTTGATCAGTTTTTATTAGACGGTGGAATTTTGTTACTCAATTAAAAAGTAAAATAAGTATCCTGAAGAGTATTTTTCTAATTTTTTTCCTGTAAGCTTTTATTTTGGAATTTTAATTTTGTTCCTTCAGCAAGCAAGTATTAAGGAATTGAAAAGGGTCCATGTTTCAGAATGTTTGCTGCCTTTGGTACTTTCTGTCTTCAGTAGAGTTCTCAAAGAGAACTCAAAGAAAGATCTCTTTTTTTTTTTTTGCGGTACGCGGACCTCTCACTTTTGCCGCCTCTCCTGTTGCGGAGCACAGGCTCCGGACGCGCAGGCTCAGAGGCCATGGCTCACAGGCCCAGCCGCTCCGCGGCATGTGGGATCTTCCCGGACCGGGGCACCGGGGCACGAACCCGCGTCCCCTGCATCGGCAGGCGGACTCTCAACCACTGCGCCACCAGGGAAGCCCAATCTCTCTTTTAAGTTACATTTTTGGCACAGTATTTTGAGAATTACAAATAATATTAGGACATTTCTTTCCAATTTTCTGCTGCTTGGTTAATTTACCATTTCCCCAAGTATTTTTGTTGAGTGTATGTACTTAAGAGAGGTGTTACAAAATCTAATTTTTCAAGTTCCCTTAAAGCCCTCTTAGGAGACAGTTTTAGACTATCAAATTGTGTTTAATTTTTAACAATTTTTTGAAAAATTATAGCTTCAATATCCGTACATTCCCCACAAAAAAGCACTAAAAATCATGCCTTGCTGGAGGCTGCAGGACCAAGTCACGTTGCAATCAATGCCATTTCTGCCAACATGGACTCCTTTTCAAGTAGTAGGACGGCAACACTTAAGAAGCAGCCCAGCCACATGGAGGCCGCTCATTTTGGTGACCTGGGTAAGTGACTTTGAGTTTTTGTTAACTTCCTAGGAGGAGGAAATGAGTATAATATGTGAAATTCCTGCCAAAGGATACCGAACTGTGTAATTGGATGGGACTTTGAAAAAAATGTTTTAACTGAAATAACAGCTATAAGTGTAATTAATGGATGACTCCATGTTGTGTTTCTATAAATATAAAAAGCAGGCCCGGTAGAAAAATGGGCCATTTCCAGAAAAAGAAATACATTTGGCCACTAAATATATGAAAAGGATGCCTCACTGCAGTAATACTAGTGAAATGCAAATTAAAATAATGAGTTAATGTTCCCCCTAACACACTGGCAAATGTTTAAAGTTTGATAATTGGGATGTTAATGTAGATGCAGAGAAATAGCCACTTCTGTATAGTGGAAGTATAAATTGGTAAAGATTTTTTGGAAGGCAGTTTGCAAGTATTTATCGAAAGGTAAAGTATAAGATGTAGCCCTCAGATATGCTCCCATATGTGCACAAAAATATATGTACAAGTATGTATGAGGCTATTCATTGCAGTAATGTTTATGATAGCAAAAAATTAGGAACAACATACAAATATCCATTAATAGAGAAGTAATCCAATTGTGATATACCCATACTCTGGAATACTGTGTAGCTATATGAAAGCCTTCAGAAGACATTGAGAAATGTCTAAGATATGTTAAAGTGAAAAAAGGTGGTCACATAGTGGTATGTACAGTAGGATCTCTGTTATGTTAAAATAATTCCTCCCTCTCCCCGCAAAAAAAGAAAAGACGTGCAGGAGATCCTTGTTTTCTGAATATTTGTTGCCCAAATTTCTGTACTTATAAAAATTGTTTGTCAGTTTATCATAAATTGAAAAAAGTCTGTGAATGGATCGACTTTACTAAAATTAGTCCCTCTTCTGATACCTCTCTCTGCTTAACGTTTGTGTGTATTCAGAGCTGAGGTGTCGGAGTCTTTGTGGGTCACCCTCAGCAGTGCACTGCAGATGACATTTGTGTTGGTCACAAAGTAAACTTGTAAGTCACTGGGTTACTCGTGTGTCTGGTGGGAATGTCAAATGGTAGAGCTGCTCCGGAAAACAGTTTGGCGGCTTCTTACAAAGCTAATCATGCAGTTACCATACGACCCAGCCATTGCAGTTTTAGGCATTTATCCCAGAGAAATGGAAACCTATGTCCACAAAAAACCTGTACACCAGTGTTCATAGCAGCTTAAAAGCCAAAAACTGGATGTCCTTCAACAGGCGAGCGGTAAACAAACCGGTACATTCATACCACAGAACACTGCTCAGCAGTAAAAAAAAAAGAACAAGCTCTTGATACACATAACAGCTTGGGCGAATCTCAAGGGGATTATGCTGAGAGAGAAGTGTTTCTCCGTTCTGGGGATGGCGGAGAGGTAGAATGGGAGACAGAAGAGCGCTTGCCGTTGCCTGGGGTGGAGGAGGCAGCCGTGAGAGGCCGCATGAGGCACCTTTGTGTCACGGGGCTGTTCCGTGTCTTGGTGGTGTTTACATGAATCTACACATGGGACAGAATTGCATAGGACTAAATACACAAGTGAGTGCTGGTAAAATGGGGGAAATCTGAACACGGTTGATGGATTGTGTCAGCGTCAGTATCTTGGTGTGATATTGAACTGCAGTTTGAAAGGTGCTACCATAGGGGAAACTGGGTAGAGGTGCACAGGTTCTCTCTGTGTTACTTCTTCTACCTGCACATGAATCTGGCAGTATCTCAGAATTAGAAGTTTGATTTTAAAAAGTGCTTAAAGTCTACAATGGATCGGGATTTCCTGAAGTTCACGAAAGGAGGTGTTGGCAGAGATGGACTCGTTAACATTGACAGTAGGATAGTTAGCAAGGATGATGATACACGAAGTGCTTCAGAAGAAGCATCAAAGGATTAAGAAGAGCCCTTTTGAAAAACCGATGAAGCCCTCAGTGAATTTTATGAAAATGAGCCTCTTTATGTCATGCTGTGAAAGTTAAAATTTTTTTATTTTTTTCTTTATTCTGATAATCAGCTTGTGGTTATAATCATAACCTAAATTTAGTTAACTATAAAATAAACTTCTATTAAGTTTTATTAAGTTTGGTTTTATTTTTCAAGATAAAATCGCAGAGCTAGCTCTTTATTTTGTTATAAATAATGCTAAGAGTTCATAACATCTTTCTAGCTATATCCACACATCCACAATTTTTCCTCAGGATAAGTTCCTAGAAATGGAGTTACTGGATTGAAAATCCAAAGAGGTCTTGCCATTTTACATTCTCATCGTCCGTTTTGCTATGCCCTGGTTAGTGCTTGTTATTTTTTTAAAAAAACATTTTTCAGTTTGACAGGCAAAAATGTTATCTTCTATTAATTTGCTTTTCTGAGATTTTTAATGAGGTTGAGTTGTTTAAATATTTTTATTGTACGTTTTGGCGGTGGTTGTCTGTTACTGAACTGCTAACTCTTCTGCTTCTTTTAGGCAGATCTTGTCTGGACTACCAGACTCAAGAGACCAAATCAAGTCTTTCAAAGACCCTTGAACAAGTCTTGCATGACACTGTTGTCCTCCCTTATTTCATTCAATTCATGGAACTTCGGAGAATGGAGCATTTGGTTAAGTTTTGGTTAGAGGCTGAAAGTTTTCACTCTACAACTTGGTCCCGAATAAGAGCACACAGTCTGAACACGGTGAAGCAGAGCTCACTGGCTGAACCTGTCTCTCCTTCTAAAAAGCACGAAACTACAGCAGCTTTTGTAACCGACTCTCTTGACAAGAGATTGGAGGATTCTAGCTCAGCCCAGTTGGAAGGAATTGACCTGAATAATAGAACTAGCAACACTCAGAATCACTTGCTGCTTTCCCAGGAATGTGACAGTGCCCATTCTCTCCACCTGGAAACGGCCAGAACAGGAGCTCATCGAGGTTCCGTGGAAACCCAGGAATCCTCCAGACTTATAGTAGCCAGTAGAAATAGTCCCTCTTCTCCACTAAAGGAATTATCAGGAAAATTAATGAAAAGTAAGTGTGTGATTTTTGTCTCTCTTTATCCTGTTTTGTTGTGTATTTTTAAAAAATTTTTTTGAATCTGTTTACAAAGTGAAACTTGAGATGGGGAATAAAAGGGTTGGAATAGTTTTCTCCCACACTCACTTGCAGATCTGGGAGTATTTGGGTAGTGCCCTGGAGTAGGGTCAGTGTATGAAAAAGGAACAGAAGGGCTGTCCACAGTGATTGGATCCTCTAAGAAAGACGTTGGCAGAATTAACAAATGAAGGAGGGTCAGGGGTCATGCTGCTTTTTCCCTTCCACAGATTTTGAAATCAGATCCTTACCCAGATAGGCTGATTTCGGCCCTGCCGCAGTCTTAGTTTTGTTACTATTTTACTGTAGTTTGCAGATAAAATTATTTTTTAATTGCCAGCAGGTGACATTAATTGAGTTCTGTGCTAGGGGTGTACTTGGATTTCATGGAATAATCACAGCATCCCTGTGAGGTAGGCAGTTACCCCGTTTTACATGTGAGAAAGCCATGGTTTAGGCAGGTGGAGGAGACTTCCGGGGTCACACAGCAGGTGGGAGCTGGGATTAAAACCCTGGCATCTCAACAACAGCACCTCTTTCTCTTTTCTGTTAGTTTGGAAATTACAGGCTCTTCACTTTTCAGTTATCACCTCCTGGAATTCTGATTAGACAGCTTCCAATCCATGCTTGTCCTCTTCTCTTTTATCTTTTCTCAGGGGTCTAGATGATTTCTGGATTTTCCTTGTGTGTTTTTTTCTTTTCTCTTTTCTACGAAGACTTTATGAGGGCAGTTTTAAGGTCCACAGTGTAATTGAGGGGAAGGTACAGAAATTTCCTGTATGCCCTTCTGCCCCCGCACTTGCGTCGCCTCCCCCACTGTGAATATCCTCCACCAGAGTGGAGCACTTGTTGGCATCAGTGAACCTGCCTGGGCACGTCGTAATTACCCAAAGTCCGTAGTTTACTTTAGGGTTCACTCCTGGTATTGTATGTTCTCTGGGTTGGGCAAATGTATAACGACATGTAACTGTCATTATGGTGTCATACAGAACATTTTCACTGCCCTAAAAATCCTCTGTGCTCTACCTGTTCATCTCTGTATACCTGCTGATTTGACCCTGGCAACCACTGATCTTTTTCCTGTCTCCACAGTTTTGCGTTTTCCAGAATGTCGTGTAGTTAGAATCATACATAGTAGCCTTTTCAGATTGTTGGTGACTTCTTCAGATCTTTTAGTTCATTGATTCTCTCTTAAAATGGGTCTAATCTGCTATTGAGTCAGTCTTTAACATGTTATCTTAATCTAAAAGTTAGTGAATTTTTCATTTCTAGAAGTTTTGTTTCTTCAGGTTTGCCTGGTCGTTTTTTAGTTTCTTAGTCCTTTAGCCCTCCATCCCACTTTTGAGCCTACTTTTTATTTATTTAAATTTATTAAACATATATTCATTATCTGAGAAGCCCAATATCCCAGTTTTTGTGTATTTGAATCAGCATTTATTTGTTTCTTCAGATTCACACTTGGTAGCCTGTGGTTTTAACGGGTTTTGGCTGTGAATATATATCTTTGGATTTTTATCTTTGGTAATTCTTTGAGGACTCTGTGATTAAATTGCGTTATTGCAGAGTGTATTTACATTTGCTTTTTTAAAAAAATTTATTTATTTAATTCATTTATTTTTGGCTGCATTAGGTCTTCGTTGCTGCGCGCAGGCTTTCTCCAGTTGCAGTGAGCAGGGGCTCCTCTTGCTTGAGGTGCACGGGCTTCTCATTTGCGGTGGCTTCTCTTGTTGCGGAGCATGGGCTCTAGGCACGCGGGCGTCAGTAGTTGTGGCACGTGGGTTCAGTAGTTGTGGCTCGCAGGCTCTAGAGCACAGGCTCAGTAGTTGTGGCATGCGGTCTTAGTTGCTCCGCGGCATGTGGGATCTTCCTGGACCAGGGCTCGAACCCGTGTCCCTGCACTGGCAGGTGGATTCTTAACTACTGCGCCACCAGGGAAGCCCCTGCATTTGCTTTTGCCATACTTCTGGGGCCAGCTTCATTACTATCCCATTATCACTTAAAACTGAATTTTTGTCTTGGGTTTTCCAGGCCTTAAACTCTTAAGGCCTTCTGCCTGGTTTTGGTCTAATCTACCCTGTTTGGGCCCTGGGCAGCTGCCCTTGAAAGTGCAAGCCTCAAGTCTCTTGGAGTTGGTGGTTTTTCTCAGGTGAATGCCCTCTCTCTTGTACTTTTGCCCATCTTGATTTGTACTGACTCCTACAGGTCCACAATTCCTTGTCTGCAGTCCAGAAATCCAGAAAGCTTTGCCTATCACAAGTTGTTTTTTAAATGAACAAAACTTGACCTGAAGGGATGTGAGCTTATTGCAGAGTCATGAATGCGATCGTCTCACATGCTGCTGGGGTATTAAAACGGTATATATAGGGACTTCCCTGGGAGTCCAGTGGTTACAACTTTGGAAGCACTATTGTAACAAATTCAATAAAGACTTAAAATTTTTTTTTAAATGGTATATATAAACACAGTGCGTTACCTCTGTAAAAACCTCAAATTCCGAATGCTAAAATATTAGTGGTCCCAAAGCTTTCATATAAGGAGCCTGCTTGTACTTGTTTCTGTTTCTCACTATTTCCCACAACCTCTGATGTAGTTTTCAAAAGCATTTTGGGAGAATTCAGTATTAGGAAGTGTTTCTTTGAACATCTAGTGAGGCCTGTTTCTGGAAATGAAAGTCCAAAGTCTGTTTCTTTGATTGTAATACACTTTATTGTTTTTGGAAACTGTCTTTGTTTTGGTGTTAATTTATTTCAATAGCAGTGGAGTAATTAAAAGAGTACTAGTTTTTCATCTTTTTGTTATTTAAATATTTTGCATGCAGTGAATTTGACACCTTTTGATGTGTATTTGAGTTTTAACACATGCATAGATTCCTGTAACTGTCATCTGTTAACTTTAATAATATAATAGCCAGTCATTTTACCAGCAGAAGCAAGTTTACTTGGAAATAGCCAGAAGAATTGCAGTTTGAGATATGCGAATTGTGGTGGACCATAGGCAAATCCAGAGAAGGGGAGCTTGCTTTTTTTTATATGGAAAGGCTAGGGCGCCGGTAGTAATCGGAGACCATCAGAGGAAGCTGGGGGGTCCAAAGTGTGGAGCCTTCTCATTGGTTGGGCTGCTACAGTGTCTGATTGGCTAGGCTGCCCTGGGGCAGAGAAAAGTTTTCTTCTTCCTGCTGGATGATAGAATAGACAACACCTTCGCGTTGAGACATAGGTGCTGGTCTCTTCCTGTTTGGGGTAATGAGGATGCCTCGCGGGGTGTGAGAGCTCACCCTATAGGCCTGTCCCCACTCCAACTTTAGCTGAGGTTTCTTTAACTCCACACATCACAATCAAGATGAAGAACAGTTCTGTCGCCTTTGTAGTTAAACCCTCTATCCCAGCAGTTGACAACCACTGATCTATTTGTCTCTTTTTTTTTTTTTTTTGCCTTTTCTGGAGTGCCATATAAGTGAATTTATATAGTATGTAGGCTTTGAGACTGGCGTCTTTCACTTAGCATAATGGCTTTGAAGTTTACCCATGTTGTTTCTGTCATTGCTTTCTATAGCTAAGTTCCGCTGGATGGATGTTCTATCCATCCACCTGTTGAACCACGTTTGGATTGTTTCCAGCTTTTGATTATGAATAAAGCTGCTTTAAACATTTCTGTACAGGTTTTTGTGTGGACAAAAGTTTTTATTTCTCTGGAGAAATACCTAGTAGTGGATTTATGTGTTAAATGTGTGTCTAATTATATGAGAAACTGCCAGACTGTTTTGTAGAGTGGCTGCACCATTTTGCATTCCCAGCAGCAATATATGAGAGTTCTAGTTGCTTTATTTCCTTGCCAGCGCTTGATGTAATCAACTTTTTGTTTATTTGAGGGGTTTTTTAGCCATTCTGATAGATGTGTGGTGGTATCTCATTGTGGTTTTACTTTGCATTTCCCTAATGTCTGAGGATGTTGAATGTTTTTTCATGTGCATATTTGCCGTCTGTATCTTTGGTAAATTGTTCCAGTCTTTCCCAATATTTTATTGTTGAATTTTGAGGTTCTTTATATGATCTGGTTATAAGACTTTTATTGGCTCTGTGACTTGCAAATGTTTTCTCCCAGTTTATAGCCTTGACTTTTCATTCTCTTAACAGTATCTTTCAGAGACCAAAAGGACTTTTTTGATTAAGTCCAATTTATCAACTTTTTTCCTTTATGGATTGTGCTTTTGGAGTCATACATAAGAGCTCTTTGCCTAATCAAAGGTCATGAAGATTTTCTCCTGTGAGATATAAGCTGTGGTGGTTAGGTCAAGTTTTTGTTTTTTTTTTGCGGCACACGGGCTTCTCACTGTTGTGGCCTCTCCCGTTGCGGAGCACAGGCTTCGGACGCACAGGCTCAGCGGCCATGGCTCACGGGCCCAGCCGCTCCGCGACATGTGGGATCTTCCCAGGCCGGGGCACGAACCTGTGTCCCCTGCATCGGCAGGCGGACTCTCAACCACTGTGCCACCAAGGAAGCCCTTAGGTCAAGTGTTTTTTTTTTTTTCTTTTCACATATGGATCATTCCATACATTATTAGTTAAAGACTACTCTTATGCCATTGAATTGCCTTTGTACCGTGGCCATATTTGTGTAGGTCTATTTCTGGACTCTCTGTTCTGTTCCATTGGTGTATATGTCTGTTCCTTTACCTGTACCACACTGTCTTGATTTTTATAGCTTTGTAGTGAGTCTTAAGATTGGATAGTTTGAGTCCTCCAAGTTTGTTCTTTTTCAAAATTGTTTTTTCTATTCTAAGTCCCCCCCCTGCCCCCGATATAAATTTTAGAATAATCTTGTCAATATCTACAAGAAACCGTGCTGGGATTTTTATTGGAGTTGCGTTCAGCCTATAGGTCAGTTTGGGGAGAATTTATGTCTTAACTGTATTGAGCCGTAAAATCCACAGATATGATGTGTGTCTTCATTTACTTGGGTCTTTGATTTCTTTCCTCCACATTGTATAGTTTTCAGCATACAGATCCTTAATGTGTTTTGTTATTTGGTGCTATTGTGAATAGTATGATTAAAAATTTTTTGTTTCTAGTGTTTTTCATTGCTAGTACACAGAAATATCAATATGATTGACTTTTATATGTTGACCTTCTATTCTGTGGCCTTATCACTCACTTGTTATTTCTAGGAGCTTTTGTGTAGGTTGCTTGAGTTTCTTGTCTTGTTCGTGATCTTAGAAAGTATTCAGTCTTTCACCATAAAGTGTGAGGTTAGCTGTGGGTTTTTGTAAATACCCTTTATCAGGTTGAAGTTCCCTTCTCTTAATAGTTTACTGAGAGTTGTTGCTGTTTGAATCATGAATGGTGTTGAATTTTGTCAAATGTTTTTCCTGCGTCATTTGATATGACAATGTGGTTTTCCTTCTCTGGTCTGTTAATATGATGGATTACATTGATTTTTTTTTTTTTTTAATATTGAATAAGCTTGCATTCCCAGGATAAGCCTCATTTGGTTATGGTGTATTAGTCTTTTTATATGTTGCTGGACTTGATATTCTAATATTTTGTTGAGCATTTTTGCATCCGTTTAGATGGATATTGGTCTGTAGTCTTCTTATACTGCTTTTGTCTAGTTTTGGCATCAGTGTAATTCTGGCCCCATAAAATGCGGTGTCATTTCGTGGAAAACAGCTGAGAGTATTTGTTGCCCAGTGGTAAAATTTAAGTTTACAAGTGAAACTTAGAATTTGGAAAACTTCTATTCACCACCGTGTGCTCTAACAGCTTTATAGAGTGTTCTGATAAGATCATTGTGATATTAATGATGTGATTTTTTTTTATACCGTATGATGCAATGCATCAACATTTGTAAGATCTTCATAAGTCAGCAAACCAGTATTTTCTACAATATTTGAAAATATATGATGTTATAAAATCAATCATGAGTAAAAGACTCTTTAAACATGGGAGATAGACCAATAGATATTAATGTAACAGAATACAACAAGTTCATTACATGGTTTCAGATTCCACCTTCTAATTAACCTTTAAGAAACTACCACTTTTCAAGTTTTGGTATAGTATCAAAGAAGAATATATCCACAGTTATCTCAGAAAGCTATTAAAATACTCCTTTTCCCAATTACACATCTCTGAGGCCAGCTATTCTTGATATAAATAAAAGAAAACCATTTCTTTATTCATAACACTTCTGACACCAAATATGTGGGTTTCCCACATTAAGCAAGTCTCTAATTCTCTGTGGACAGTAACTGGGTACCCTATAGTTTAATTCATTCTGACACTACCCGGAGTTATTGCAGACTCCCCCAGGTTAAGGGCTCAGTCCAGAAGACTGTCCCCCCACTTCAGATGCCAGTCACAGGTCCCAAGTTGTCACCTGTACTTCTGGCCAACCAGCTATAAATCAGGGGTTCCCACTACCCCTTCCTCTTTCAATAATTTGCGACAACAGCTCAGAGAACTCAGGGAAACACTTTATGTTTATTAGTCTATTATAAAGGATATCGTAAAGGATAGAAATGAACCGCCACATGAAGGGGTACATAAGTCAAGGTCCAGAAGGGTCCCAAGTGCAGGAGCTTCTGTCTGTGGGGTTGGGGTGCATCACCCTTCCGGGACATGGATACATTTGCCAACCCAGAAGCTCTCTGAACCACTTCATTTAGGGGTTTTATGGTTCTGTCACGTGGGCCCAGTTGAGTAAATCCCAGGCCATTGGTGATTAGCTTGATGGTCCCTAACCCCTCCACCCTCCCCAGAGGTTCGGGAGTGGGGCTGAAGTTCCGTGGTTGCTTCTTTGGCAACCAGCCCCACTCTGCAAGAGTCACCTCATTACCATAAACTTTTCCCCTGGTTGAAATCAGAGGCTTATTATAAATAACAAAAGATGCTCCTCTGGCCCCTGCCACTCAGGAAATTGCAAGGGTTTTAGGAGCTCTGTGCCAGGAACCAGGACAAAGACTATACATACATATACACACATGTACACACACATACATACTATATATATACACACACATACATACACATACATACTATATACACACATACATACTATGTATACACACATACTATATATATACACACATACATACTATATATATACACTCACACTATATATACACACACATACTATATATATACACACACATACA